TCCTCTGTTGGCAGGTGGTGGGGGTGACAGATTATTTTTAAAGACCATTTTCACCCAGATTCACACTTTAGTTGACAATGTGGTCGAGGAATGCAATCTTTCCCCTGGGCTCCTCAGAGGTATGAACGCCAAAACTAATATAGTACTAAAAATATAATTTTCTTGGGCTTTTCCCCCTTGTTTTTGATATGTATATACATATATACATATACATATATATATATATATTTTTGCTTTGTTGGGATGCATTGTAAGTTTTTTCTTTAGATTGCGTGTAATGCTTCTAAATGCAGGAGGCTTACATTCATACACTGGCCTCCCTGTGTTTTGGTGTTTGGCATATTCATGGTGAAAATGGCTGGTTATATAATTATATATTTATATGATACAGGGATGGGCAAACTTTTTCTCCTGCTCTCCTCTTCCTTCTTCAAATGTAGAAACCGTTCTTAGCTTGAGGTCGATTCAAAAACAGGCCATGGACGGGGCGCCTGGGTGGCTCAGTCATTAAGCGTCTGCCTTCTGCTCAGGTCATGGTCCCAGGGTCCTGGGATCCAGCCCCGCATCGGGCTCCCTGCTCCGCGGGAAGCCTGCTTCTCCCTCCCCCACTCCCCCTGCTTGTGTTCCCTCTCTCGCTGTGTCTCTCTCTGTCAAATAAATAAATACATAAATAAAATCTTCAAAAACAGGTCATGGCTTGAATGCAGGCTGCAGCCAGAGCATGTGGACCTGTGCTCTAACTTATGGGTAAGCACATGCAGACAGAAAAGAACCCAACGAACATTCCTTCAGTTCTCCAATCTCCTTCTGCTTTCTGGCAACACACACCACACGGATTCGTGCTCCTTCTGTGGTTGGAATCCATTCATCTTGCATTCTCTTCTCTCAAAACTGAACACACGTTTCCGTGTTGACAGCTCACATTCTTGTGGATCACCTACATCTCTAGCCCCCTTGAGGCAGACACCCGCTGCGATATAATTGTACTTCCTTTCATCTCAAGATACCTCTGTTGTATTTGCCCTAGGTAAATACTTCCCCGGCTGTGAATAGGTAATTAAAATGCTGAAACTTTTATGGCCCGGGATCCTTATCCGTTCGAACAATACTCACCCAGGTGGAGGGCTCACGGGAGGCAAAGGTATGTGAGTTGATGATGACCTGGATGCAGAAGAACCCGGGGCCTGAGCGGTGAGGGAGTGAGTGTAGGAGGTGGGAGAGTCAGGAGGCCCCACACCAGGGTCCCACCTTCTGCCAAGAATCTCTTTTGAAACTGCCAATCTTGATGACCTGCTCTGGAATTTTTACCACCACAGAGTCCCTCCTTTGTCCCACAGTCCCTCAGCATTGTCCCACAAGCAAGGGTGGGGCGTGGTGACTTTAGGATGTGTGCATGCACGTGTGTGTTTGGGGGTGGGTGGACATTGCTCATCAATCTTATTTATTGGCTTAGCAGATTCCTGCATCTGGAATCTCATTCTCTGTACTTGGGGTTGGGGCCTGGGCTCTGGAATCTGGGTTGTGTGAAGACTAAGAAATTGCAAGAATGCCCCCCAGCAAGTAAGCCATCTATAAAGATAATTACTAGGTTGTGCTTTCTGCTGCCAGACTTGAAAAATGGGGCGGAATGAGATCGAAAGACAGCTCTAGCAGCGCCCCTTGGTCCTCGCAGGTTGTAGATTCTGCTGGACTCGCCCTTGGAATAGTCTGGGAATGGAATTATTACTAATTCCCAAAGGGCTGACACATCACTGGCAGCCTTCCGCGGGCAACCGCTTTGTTTGTGGGACTGTCCCTGTGTTTTCTCAGAATTCTGATATAAAAAAAAATCTCAGAAATCGAATTAAAGAAACCATATACACGATAAAAGGGCCCCAGGAAGGCGCTGGGTTTCATCATCTGTCCCGGGGAGGGCTCAGGGTCGCGGTGCGCAGGGTGTGGGAGCCGCGCGTCCGCTCCCCGACACCTTGGCCGACACCGCCCCCTAGTGGCCGCGGCCGCCCCGGGCGCTGACGGCGAGGAAGGCGCGTCTCCGCCCGCCTGCCCGCCCGCGGGGCTGGCTGGAAAATTCCGCCTGCAGAGGTTACTCTCTTCAGCAGCCTCCTTGCCTGCACTCCGCCGATGCTCTTTCCGTGCCTGCCTCCCCTCCGCACGTCCTACACTTTCATTCAGTGTCCGCGGATGGTGTGGCTCGGCCGGGGACCGATGGCCACGGAACAGGGGGGTGTTTTTATATCCACACGGGACACATCTTTATGACAAGTTCTATTCTTTGCACATTTTGTTCTAGGGCCATTTTCTAAACAGAACTTTTGAGCAGTTGATGCTGTGAGGCCAGGACAAAGGCCCTGAGGTGGGAAGGGGTTTGGCTCTTAAAAAAAAACACCGACCTGAAGGCAGGGAGGGAGGGAGGGAGGGAGGGAGGGAGGGAAGGTGGGTCTCGGACTGAGCAGAGGGACTAAGCAACGGGAAGGAGGGCGGGAGGTGAGAGCCAGTGATGGGCCGGTTCCGCAGTTTGCATTTTCTAAGAGCGCTAGAAAGCTTTGAGGGATTTTACTTGGTGGAGGAGGGTGGCGGTGGAAGGGGGTATTTTCATGTGATTAAAATAACTTTGGCAGTTGGGAGGAGAATGGGCTTCAGGGGCGCTGAGTGTGGGCTAGGAGGCCCCTGGGTTGTGAAAGGAGAGGTGGCTGGTGTGGCCCAGTTGGGGGTGGCCCTGGGGACATGGAGGGAGTTCCTAGATGCTTTGGAGGCTGACTTGCTTGGCTGGATGCAATGGGCACTGCCCAGGGCAGGGTCAGGGATGCACGTCCTTCTGGCTGCAGCAGCCGGAGAGCGGACTGAGATTGGAAAGAGCCTGGGGTGAGGGGTGGAGCATGAGCTCCTCTGGACAAGCGGAGTTTGAGAGGTGGGGTAGATGATCTGGGGATGAGGTCTGGGCTCTTTTGGGGACAGGTAACAGAACCTGGAGGAAAGGTTCTTTTTTTTTTTTTTAAGATTTTATTTATTTATTTGACAGGGAGAGACACAGAGAGAGAGGGAGCACAAGCAGGGGGAGTGGGAGAGGGAGAAGCAGGTTTCCCGCGGAGCGGAGAGCTCGACACGGGGCTCGATCCCAGGACCCTGGGATCATGACCTGAGCCCAAGGCAGATGCTTAACGACTGAGCCACCCAGGCGCCCCTAGAGGAAAGGTCCCTCAGACAGGTTCTGAATTTTCTCTTGGGATCCAAGGGCTGGGTTCACTGGGGCTTCAAGAAGGGGGGGGTGCCCCCAGGCATCCTCCACACTCCTTTCTCTGTGCATCTGCCTCACACTTCCTTCTTGCTTCACCCTCTGCCTGGAATGCCCTCCCCTGGGGGCTGGCTCCTGTCCTCCTTTAAGCTCTGCTCAAATCCTAAGGGGGCCTCCCGAGCTACAGTTGGGCCTGTCTAAACTCCTCCGGCTCACATCACTGCATGGATTTCTTTTATGGTTTTTATCGCTGTTTCCTCTACCTGTTTTTTGACTTGTTTATTTTGCCAGAGCTGGTGAGCTTCCCCATCTGATCGCCAGCCCCCTGAGAGCTGAAGCCCCTGCTTTATTCACACTGCCGTACTTGGGCCTTAGCGCTCTTCAGGCCCAGAGCAAGTGCTTTACACATACTTGCTGGGTTATGAAATCTGCTCCTGGGTTCCTCAGAGTGCCCAGCGCCACTATGCATGCATCGAAAGTGCCAGTAAATACCTAGGGATTAGTTTCATGCCTGAAGACTCCTTTGCCACAGAAGAAAGGGGTGACGGATTCTCTTTCTGCAGGAAAGTTGACTGAACAGGGACTCAGGGAAGGGGCAGGGGCGCAAGTCAGGGCGCAAGAACATCACCCCGTGGACATGGACGGTGGACAGCAGTAACCCGGTGCTGACCAGCCCTGCATCTGTGCCACCGCTCCCCACCCCGGGGTTCTCTTCAGGGCAGAGATGTCTTTAAAGTAAGACTGATGTGAACGGACAGATTGACTTGTAGGCTTTTGCGATTTAAACCTGGAAATATAGGGGCACCTTGGTGGCTCAGGCAGTGAAGCGTCCAACTCTTGATCTCAGCTCAGGTCTTGAACTCAGGGTTGTGAGTTCAAGCCCCGTGTTGAGCTCCACGCAGTTTATGGAGACTACTTAAAAACGAACAAACCAACCTGGAAATATAATGTCCTAACTATCGTGACAGATAAAAGGATCTAGGAAATGCATAACAGGGTTTTTTTTTTTTTTCTATTCTCCACCCCCTTTAAAAAATAGTTTAATAAATAATTTCATGTAGCATATATCCTGCCATGTCTGGGGACTCCACGTAAACCCCCCTGCTGGCCCTGAGGAGTCAGGGTCTGTCACCCTCAAAGGCACCCCAAACACCTTGGATCCCTAATCAAGGAATTGAACCTTCCCACCTTTGTTGTGTAAGTGTCTTACAGGAATCCAATTCCTTCCATGAGGGATTATGCGCCGTGTGTGATGTGAAGTGCTCTGATGCTGGGCCACCCGGCCCCTAAGCGATCCCAACTGCTCTGTCCACATGCTTGAAGCAGACGTTTCCATTTATCTTTGGGAGACGGAACTCTCTGGAAAGCTCCATCTTTGCTTGCAGGTGTGGCTGGGTAGCATAATCAGCTTAAATATTTACAGAACAGTTAATTTCATCACTAAATGGCTGGAGGTTGAGGAGTCTGTCTGAGGTCAGCCGCCACCCTCTATGGACCGACCCCCTTTTCTTCCCCTGTAGGTTAAGTTTGAGCAGGGCCCTGGGTGGCTCTCTGCCCACGCCCGGGAGTGTGTGCTGGACACTGTCTTGCCACCTGTGGCCAGTCTGGTATGTGTGGGGGACTGGGATTGAGACACCTGGGCCCCTCAGAGATGTGTTTGCTTGGCCACTGCCTTTCTCTTTGCACCTGCTAACCTTACCCTCGCAGTGGCAGACCTCCTCACTCTAGCAGGTGAGCAAAAAAGAGGTGGGGGCAGGGGGCACAAAGGTGAGATGCTCATACTTTATTGAAGGGAGCCAGGCTGGGGACAGGGTGAAGGAAGTGCCGGGAGCTGCAGGAGCTCCAGCAGTTGGAGATCTTCAGCTTCTAAGTGCTAAGCACACGCTGGGCTCTTTAAGACAATGTCCTAAAACAGACACACACCAAAAAACCCCAAGACAATAATAGTGAGCGAAAACTCAAAGTTAGACCAAGATGTCTGCATGCAGAAACTTCAGTGTCAATTAAGAAGTTCAGTAGCTCTGGGAAGAGCTAAGCTTGTAAGAGTTCTGATTATTTCTCAGAAGCCTCTTAAAAAGGGTAAGATGACTGAATCTGCTCCAAAGGGCTAGAAAGGGCTCCAAAAAAATGGGGCGAGGCTGCAGCCCAGGGACTGGGGGAGGGGGGAACTGCTGCTAAGCGGCGCAGAGGGAAGGGAGCTGTGTACCATGAACTTTAGGATGTTCTCCGTGGTGTCTGGGGGTAGGGTTTCCACCAGACTCCTCAACTGGATCAACGCATCTTTCATGTTGGCGTCTGGGACGAAAACTTCAATTGCAGCCTCGTAACTGGAGAGCGTGCCAATGAATAAGGTTTTGATGACATTCAGAAAGCTCAGGCAGATCCCTGCAGAAGCTGAAGCACAGAAAAGAGAGAGCATGCGTGTCCAGGCCCTTTTCCAAGCTGGCCAGCCCCCTGGCTGGGCCCGCCCCAGAGGCAAGCGGGCGGGCCTGTCAGCAAGAGAGAGCAGCCTTTCTGTCAATGGGATGGTGTGGAACATGAGATCTGGTGGTGCTCCACGCTGTTGGCTCTTTGGCACTGTGGGAAGGCTTTCCAGGGTTGCAGCCAGCTTCTCGTGGCTTGCCTGAGCCCTCCTTGTACTTCCTGGGTTGGGGTGGGGCAATTTGCCATTTGTTCTTTCTGTTAGAGCTCCAGGTAGAGGATTGATAAAAGAAGCTGCTGATCTGGTCTTTTATGCGACAGTGGGGGTTTGGGAAGGGGCTGCCGAGGGATTCTGGTGGTTGTCCCGCCGGAAGCATGCCTCTTACCTATGGTTAGTGATGGTCTGAGCCACTTGCCACGGGGGGGGTGGTGGTGGGGGCAGGGGGCAGTCAGGCTCTGGCAGGAAGAAATACTTGTCCAGGCCAAGAGCAAGCCCCTGAACTGGCCCGGGAAGAGGTGTGCACCATGAGCACTGGGCCCCTGGGGTGCACTCACCTGCCCACATGCCTCTTGTGTCCAAGCTTGGCCCCACTATGTTCCTTTCACCCGTAGTGCTCCCCAGGTTGTGCTCCCTTTTCAGGCCTCTGCCCCAGGAACATGGGGGAGAGAGTCACTGCTTCCTTTGCCTGAGTCTCGGTCCCCGTCCTTGAATTCTCTGCCTCTTGTGCAAGTTCCGCTTCCCTGCCTGGACTCCAGGGACCCCCAGAATGGCCACTCCAAGTCAAACCCCCTCCGGAACTTAGAGCCCTGCTTTGCAACTTACTACGTCATCTGGCAAGTTACTTTCTCTTTGTGTGGCTCCATTTTCTCATCTGTAAAATGGGAATAATAGTCCTATTTCATGGGGTTATTATAAGGATCAAAAGGGGGTCAGAACAGTGATTGGCACATTGTCAGTGCTGAATAAATGGGGGATATTATCATTGTTATTATGACATGTGTGCAAACACACAAATATACGAAGGCATCCCAGATTCACCCCTTACCATATTTCAGTCCTATCTTGCTGAGCCACCAGCTCTATGCACAGCACTGAGATCTAAGTAACATACAATTGACCTTTGAACAACACAGGATTGGACTGAATGGGGCCCCTTACATGTGAATTTTTTTCAATAAATGTATTGGAATTTTTTTTTTGAGATTTGTGACAATTTGAAGGATTCACAGATGAACTGAGTAGCCTAGAAAAAATGAAAAAATTCAGAAAAGGTTGGGTCTGATTGTCGGAACACAGTATATAATACATACGGCATACAAACTATGTGTTAGTTAGCGGTTTATATTATCGGTAGGGCTTCTGGTCAACAGCAGGCTGTGAGTGGTTAAAAGTCAAAGGTTATAGGCAGATTTTTGACTGGGGGGGGCAGTCAGCACTCCCAACCCCTGTGCTGTTCAGTATATGTCAACTGTACATGTCAGTCCAAAATGATGTTATTTCCCTTTAAAGACAAATATCTCTACACAATAGTTGTCCCCATTGCCTCTTGGTTTGGTTTTCCAGCTCTTCTGCTACTCCCCAGGGTCATCAAACTTATCGCCATGGGTGTCATGAAACTTTTGAAGTGAATTAATTGAAATTTGCTAAAAAGCTTTTTGTTTGTTTGCTCATTAAAAGGAATAGAAGAGGCTGATACAGAGTAAAAACCAGTTACTCAATTACCAAAAGATCAGGGGACTTCCTCCTTCCCTCTCTCCTTCCCTCCTTCCCTCCCTCTGTCCCTCCCGCCCCCACCCCAATTCCTTTCCTCTTAATGACAGCTGCAACTACTCAGAGACTCCTAATCCTTTTGGCAGAGGACAGAAATGTTTAGAAAACTCCACTCGGGGTTGGCAGTTTCCCAAAGGAAGATCCCTTTCTAGAATATTCCTCTCTGCCCAGAATGGGTGACCTTGCCTTAGCTTGGATTTCTTTTGGAGACATGAGGCTCTGCAGCTCCTCCTAGCCCCTTTGGCTGCCATTGTGGTGTGGAGACCCCAGACCTGAGGGCGGCACTGTACCGTGGTCTCTTGGCATCTTGGGGGTCTCTTGGAGAGACTGGACTCTGAGGAGCTCATCGTTCCTATTCTGTTGGCCATTGAACACACACATCCATTACAGGATCTCCTCCATTCCTGCCTCCAGTCTGTTCCAACACGGCAATTCTGAGGCTGTTGGCTATGGAAGATGGGATCCCTTCCAGGTTTCCTCACGGGCTCAGGGTGCTCCCCAAGTTCCCAAGATGGCCCTGTTCACAGACGCAGTTTCCTGGCTGGGGCTCAGTGTTCCAGCTAAGCAGCTACCCCCTGAGCAGAACTGGGGAGCAGGAAGAGTTCCTGAGCCTGGCTTGGGGGAGAGGGGCTCTGGGAACTCACCAGGGCTGCAGCAGAGAGCCAGGGTGGCCAGGGCGAGGATGACAGCCAGCTTCATGGTGGGCAGGAGGCTGGTGAGTGAGGCGCTGGCCTGTGTCTGGATCGGGTGGTCTTGTGTGAGACATGCCCATCGGGGTGCCTTCTTAAATGCTCCAGGCTCTACCTGGAGGGGAGGAGGAGGGCAGGCCTGGGCTCTACTGATGGGACCACACTATTTACTTGGATATTAGCTTGGTGGGAAAAGTAAATATTCTCTTTTCTCAACCCAGTTTCTTTCATCATTGGAACTGAGTTCACACAATGGGGCACTTGGATGGGGAAACCCAGAGTGCTATGTGGCTGCCACAGGGGACTCAAGTCAGAGGGTGTGGAGAGCCAACAACCTGTGCCACTCTCATTGAACCTGAGCGCCGGGCCAGTCCAGATCAACAGAGGCCATTGCAGAGTCCACCTGGACCCATCACCCCAGGAGAAACTGAGGCCTAAGGCCCCTCACACATGGTGCCATGTGGGCTCAGGACTCTTGATGCTCCATCAGGCTCCTGCCATCGCCTTTCCAAAGAAGGCGACTGGAGGGTCACATGGACCGGAGCATCTCCGTGGTCAGACTCGGGGGAGACCCTGGACTGAAGCATGTTGACAGAGGAAGGTTTTCTCCAGAAAGCCCATGAGAAACCTGAGCCTCAGATCAGACTGGAGAATGTACTGGCCTGGGCTGGGTCTGTTGCCACCCCAAGCTGCTCTCAAGTCCTGCCCTCCTGGTGGTCAACTCCATGGGCACTTCCGGCCTTATCTTGCTTGACCTCTTAACGGCCTTGATCCTCTTGACTTTTTCCTTCTTGAACTGTTCTCTCTCCTGTGTTCCCATGGCCCTGTTCTTTCCTGATTTTCTCCCCAACCGACCATCCTTGTTCTTTAGATGTTTATTCTTTACTGACTGCGCTTCCCTGATGGCGGTTCCAGACTTTGGCCGTAGCCCCTGCTCACCTCCCGCTGCCACATTTGTCCTCTCCCAGTACCCGCGCCTCAGGACACAGGCCTGGCCTGCTCAAAGCCAACTCCTGATCGGCCTCCCGTCCCTCGCTTGCCCTCCTGGGCCGTCCTCAGGAAGGTCAGCAAAATGATCTTTCTAAAACCAGCTGATCATGTCAATTCTTCTTGGAACCCTTCGAAAGCATCCTTTTGCCGACGGGGTAAAATTCAGGCGTGATCTACAAGGCCCCTGTCCACTGGCCTTTGCTTATCATTTGAGCCTCATTCCCTCACTTCCCTGCATAGTGATTTAACCCTGTCTTCGTGTTTGTGGATTCGGGAACATCCCATGTGTTTCTTCATGCCTTTCTACCTTTGCACAAAGGATGCTTCATGCCCGGAATACACATCTCCTGCCTTGTCTCCTTCTCCAAATCCTGTTTGTGCTTCAAGATCCAATCAACTGTTCATTCATTCATTCTGAGCACCTACTATGTGCCAAGCATTGTGCTAGGGGTTGGGGGTTGGGGTAAATATGGAGAATCATTGCCTGAAGCCCCTTCAGAAGAGCTTGTCACCTGGCCATGAGGAGCATGGTCAGCAGAGAGCCGCTAGATGCCTGTAACTTTGGGGTCTGCCCTGGGCCTAGAACACTGCCCCGCTCAAGGTCACACCCTTCCTGGGGCTGCTCCCTTTGGCTGCCAAGCAAGGATGGCACTTCTGCACCGTGCAGAACCACTCAGGTGGGTGATACCGACTCCAGAGCTTCTGACCCGGCCGGCTGAGATTTTGCCAGGCCCACATCGCCAGCCGGCTTTCCTTCTGCCCAAGCCTGCTGTGGCCCCTTCTCCACACAGTTACTATCCCTAATGGTGGTCTTACCCTCCAGATTCCGTCTCAGCATCAGCTTCCATGGCAGCATCGACCCACAGCAGGGAGGCAGTGATGGATGAGGCAGGCCCAGGTCCCTAACGCTGAGGACCGTTCATGGCAAGCAGGCCATGAAGCCAGGGGTGCTGGGGGAGCTAGGAGAGCATGAAGCAGGACATGGGGTAGAAAGTAGGTGGGGGAGTCAGCGGGCAGTCACTCCGAGCAGGTGACTCGCTCCTGGCCGAGGGGACGCCCAGCACCCAGACCCTCAGGTGGGAAGAACCAGGGTGTTCCCCGCGGAGCACAGAGGGTCCGTCGTGTCTGCAGTGGGGAGCGAGGACCCAGATCTCGCAGGGCCTCCTGCTAAGTAAGGTCTCTATGCTCGCAGTCCTGGGGAGCTCTGGAAGGGGTTTCTTTTTTTAATGCTTTAAAAAATATGTTAAAATACACATAACACAAAGTTTCTCATCTTTATCCCTTTTACGTGTACAGTTGAGTGTGTTAAATCCGTTCACATTGTGCAGCCGTCCTCACTGTCCCTCTCCCATGGCTTCTTTCGTTTTACAAAACCGAAACTGTCCCCATTAGACACCAACTCCTTCTCTGTCCCCAGCCCCCGCAGTCTCCGTTCTACTGTCTGGCTCCATGATTTTGATTACTAAGTGCCTCCTCTATGTGCAATCCCACAGTCTTTGTCTTTCCGACTGGCTCATTTCACTTAGTGTAGTGTCCTCAAGGTTCATCCATGGGACGTATTGCAGAATTTCTTTCCTTTTAAGGCCAAATAATGTTCCATTGTATGTGCAGGCCACATTTCGCTTATCCATTTGCCGGACGCTTGGGTTGTGTCCACCTTCTAGCTATTGCGAATAATGTTGCTATGAACATGGGTGCACAATTGGGAAGGTTTTAATCTGGAGAGATGTGGTCTGATTTCCCTTTTGATGGGATGCCCCTGACTACTCTGCGGGTGGGGGCTGGGTGGGGAGGGGGTGACAGAGCAGCTCAGCAGAAGGGATGGTGGGCTTTGGACGAGCTGGTGGCAGTGGGGTGAGGGTCTGAGAGACACCTGGACAGGCTCAATGCTGGCTAGAACAGAGCAGGTGAAGCAGAGGGGGGGGTGACAGGGTGAGCCGGGTAGGTTTCTGGCTGGGACAGCTGGGCGCATGGGGGGCTTATTTCCTGACAGAGAGAATTCGTCAGGTGGAATAGTGTTGGGGAGGGGGACCGAGTGGAGCCTTCTCCCACCTGCAGTTCCCGTGGCTGATCTCGCACTACTATACCCCTCCGTTATGAGCTCCCCATGTAGCGTTTTAACTGTGTGATTCTTTTTTTAAAAAAATATTTTATTTATTTATTTGACAGAGAGAGACACAGTGAGAGAGGGAACACAAGCAGGGGGAGTGGGAGAGGGAGAAGCAGGTTTCCTGCTGAGCAGGGAGCCCGATGCGGGGCTCGATCCCAGGACCCTGGGATCATGACCTGAGTCGAAGGCAGACGCCCAGCGACTGAGCCACCCAGGCGCCCCTAACTGTGCGATTCTTTACTTGACTCTTTTATGTCACGGTTGCTAAGCAGGGAGCCATGGCATGAATCAATGCAGGAGCCCTGCTTGTCATGTGATATCTGGAGGCCACGATGAGGCTCAGAGGTGCCTAAAGACGCTAAGAGCACGAATTCCAAACTAGCCAGCCACGGGGACTCGCTGAGTAAGCCGCTGTGTGTCCGGACGATGCAACACCAAGCAGCTGATAGATCAGGAGAGGAGGATCTTCTTCTTCTTCTTTTTTTTTTTAATAATTTTTATTGTTATGTTAATCACCATACATTACATCATTAGTTTTTGATGTAGTGAGAGGAAGATCTGAACTAAGAGGGGAATGATCTCCACGGCAGACTGCGGAGGGAAGAGAAACAACAGCAAGGCAGAACAGAGTAAAAAAATACCTGGATGAAAAAAGAGCAAAAAGGAATCCACGTAGGTAACTGCGTGTGTGTGCACAAAAGCTCTCTGGAAGTAGCGGCGCTGGCTGTTTACAGAAGGAAGAACCATGCGGGAGGGAGACTGAGAAAGGAAGCTTTTCACTTTCAACATTTTGGTGCCCTCGGATTTGGAACTGTGTAAATACCCTATTGATTTGAAACACATTTTTTTTTTTTTAAGTAGGTTCGTTCCACACCCATTGTGGGGCCCACACAGGGCTTGAACTCATGACCCTGAGGTGAAGACCTGAGCTGAAATGAAAAGGTGAATGCTTAACTGACTGAGCCATCCCGGCGCCCCTCAAAACAAACTTTTTTTTTTAAAAAGATTATATTTGGGGCGCCTGGGGGGCTCCGTCGTTAAGCGTCTGCCTTCGGCTCAGTCATGATCCCAGGGTCCTGGGGTCGAGCCCCGCATCGGGCTCCCTGCTCAGCGGGGAGCCTGCTTCTCCCTCTCCCACTCCCCCTGCTTGTGTTCCCTCTCTCGCTGTGTCTCTCTCTGTCAAATAAATAAAATCTTAAAAAAAATAAAAGATTATATTTATTTATTTATTTGAGAGAGAGAGAGAAAGAGAGAGAGACAGTGCACAATCCAGGGAGGACAGAGGGGGACGGAGAGAGAGAATCTGAAGCAGACTCCTCACTGATCGCGGAGCCTGATGCGGGGCTCAATCTCACGACCTCGAGATCATGACCTGAGCTGAAACCTAGAGTCAGAAGCTTAAATGACTGAGCCACCCAGGTGCCCCTCAAAACAAATTTTTAAATTTACCACAGCATGGATGAGTCCTAGGGACGTTATGCTAAGTGACGAGCCAGTCACAGAAAGACAAATGCAGTATGACCCCACTTATATGAAGTCCTTAGAGGCGTCAGGTTCATAGGGACAGAGAGTCGAATGGCCTTGTCAGAAGCTGCAGGGGGAGGAGAATGGGCAGTTATCTTTGCTTAATGGGACAGTCTCAGTTTGGGGTGGTGAGAGTGTCCTGCAGGTGGATGTCCCGCAGGTGGTGAGAATGTCCTGCAGGGACAGTGTGAATGCACCACAGTGTGAATGTCCTTGCCACCACTGAACTTAGCACTGCAAAATGATTAAGATAATAAATTTTGTTATATGCATTTTACCACAATTAAAAAAAGTAGTAAAAAGGGTAGATAATAATAAAATAAAATGTAATAAATAATAACGTAAAATAATAAAATAAAAAAGTGCAGAACAGGTTTTAGAATTGGGCTGAGTTGAATCCCAGACCC